TTTTTGAACAATGAAATTAGCGCAAGACCCTTTCACGTATGTCCGCTAGTGATATTTTTCTAGGGAAATTCATGTTTGGCCACCGCACACTTCACGACTTCCATTCGAGATCATGTGCGGAAAATATAATGAGTAAAGTTTCTGTGAACAGTCACACATTGTCACAAATGGAATATATTTTTCACGCGTACCGATACTCTATTTTACGCTGTTAACGTGCGATCATAGTTCCTTTCGTGATATTCACGGGTGTACACGCCGTTTTATATGCTATAGGTTCTCCATGGAAAGATCTCGACTCAAGCAATGTCTCACTTCTGTTTTTTCCAGCATTCTGATTCAAGAAATGACACTATGGATCAGGGGCGACTTTCATCAAAAAACTTAAGTGTGACTTACATCAAAAAAGATTAAAAATCGGGTTTCACAAAAGAGCTTAAGTTTGACTTAAGTTTGTCTCAAATCCGACTTAACTTTGACTTAGATTTTCACTTAAGTCGTACACTTAAGTTAAAAAATTTAACTTAAGTGTGACTGCTGTGTGTGTGTGACACTAAACCTTTTTTAATTATTGTTGTATATGAATAATACTAAGGTGTAATATGCGAATAATCTGCTGTCCATAACTTCATATCATATTGTAAATGAGTCGTTGAAACAGGAGATATGTCGGATAATTTAGTGTTATCTTGCGTAGTTCTCACAATTTCCAGATGATTGTTTTTGCATTCGATAGAAGAGATGTTTATGTAAGCCATAAACAGAAGATTTTATCGAAGTTGTCTGTCTATAGTTTTCATAATTAATTTTAAATTTAATTTAGTCCATAAAATATATTCAAATTCATATCCCATATAGTGTGAAGTCAAAATGAAAGCTTATCCACTGGAATAATAAGCTAATCTTCACGCATGTGATAGAGTTCAGCATTCTGAAGAACTTTGTCACTTGGTATAATACCAAAATTGGCTTCTGAGAGACGGTAGAGGTTTTTCTCTGAGAACCCCGTGTATTTCAATGGGGTGTCTCTATTTACCCCAAAGCATAAAGATGAAAAAAAGAGAATCTCTAGCTGTCTTGATTTTATGTTAATTAGCTTAATGAGTTTAAGGGATAATGAACTCAAAACTATGGTGGAAAGAGGAAGGTCCGAGCTATAAAATAAGGTGTTTTTGAATTAATCATGTCTTAGGCTTAATTAACCAGGCATTATATATTAAAACTCCTTGTATTTGAATGGAGTGCTCTATTTACCACAAGCGTAAAAGTGAAGTGTCTCTATTTAGCTTTCTTGGGGTAATTAGAGACACTTTAATGGAGCTCTCTCCATTTTGCATCTGGCTCAAAATTGGTCGGAGATTTTCAAACGATTTTTACATGAACATGTAGAAAAGTCTCCTAAACGGACCGTGATACGGTTTCATGTAAACGATGAAATTTGGCATGTTACGGCCGTTGTTTATTGTCGTTAGCGTAGAGCCGACCTCGATTTTGATCTACTATCGATAGTATCAATTTCAGACAAAAATTTTTTTTCAAATTTTCAAAAATTTTGACAAGAAAATGTTTTCTTTGAGTTCTGAATGTCGAAACCCTTTAAATCTGAAATTCAAAATAATTTTTCAAAATTAGCCTTAATGTGAAGCTCCCTTTAGTTCACCTCTAGATGATGAAACAGAGTTATAATAACACAGTTAGATTAGCCAAGCAGTTATAAGGCAGCGTACTTATAAACTATACCGTTGGTGAACAGCCTGTGAGTCGTATCCCGAAAAAACTTAAGTCACCGACTTAACTAAGTCTAGACTTGAGTCAGGCTTACATAGTATAAAATTAGCACGTAAGTGCACATAACGATTCCTGTAGCATCTATAATAATAGACTGCTCTTTACGTCACTGTTTACGGCTGTAAACAAAAAAGTACACGGGTGTTTACGACGGTCGTAATCACGGACCCGGGATGCTTTTAGCCATTCATTACTAACATCATCTTCTAACTCGAGAAATAAAGTCTAATTTGTGTTGAAACCTTGCCCGTATTTCGAGTAAATAATTCTTCAGTGTCCACGTTATCGATCGTGGCCACAGATTAATTTTAAATGAAAAATCTTTCATCAGATCGCCAAGGTTGTTGGTGGAGCTAGTTTATCGGAATGTATTGAATTAGACCATGTGTAAGCTGTTTCCGGTTACCAAATCAGTTTTTCTTCTGAAAAAATCTTTCATGAGCTTTTAAATCTGTATAGTTGCAAAGTGAAATTAAGAAACAGTTATTAATGCACTTAGAATCCATAGTCCAATCTCTACCGCACTTGTTACTGGTTCACAGAAACAAATAAAAAATTGATCCTAAATTACTGTGACTGCTGCCATGTAAATCCAAAAATGGAAGTAAGGTGTCCAAAAATAAGCCTCTGATTCTCCGAGCTCATGGTGAAGTATAAATAATTGATGAGCATCACTCATTAAGTTTGCCTAAACGTTACATTCACTGTAATTTTCTCAGATGTAAGCGGAAAAAAATAGAAATAAGTCATCTAAGTTGGTTAAGAAAGCTTCTTCAAAGAACACATTTAATATCAGTTTTCGGAGAAAGCAGCACTTTAGTATTCGAAAAAATCAAAATCGGAGTAAATCATCCCTCAGGTTTCTCCGAAATTCGGAGTAAATCGTTATCTTTTCTCAAATTACGAGTAAAGCGTTCTTGATTTTGTTCAAAATCGGGGCAAATCACTCTCCGAGTTTCGTCGAAATGAGAGTAAATCGTTCGTATTTTTTACACAAATTGGGAGTAAATTTGACCAAAAGTTTTTAAAAGAATACTCTTTCGAACCGCCACTGATTAGCGGTTTTCTATATCCAACACAGCTTACACGTCTTATTTGTTTCAGTATTTCGATTCTCCAGCAATTGTGATAAAGTCATTTTCTGAACGTTTCTTTTATGGCTGGCGGCTTGATAAATTAGAATAAGAGTTCTTTCATCCATTTCGCCATATCATTTCAAAGGACATGTTTATAAAAAGAACAGAGGTACAGAATACATCTTAATGGAGATTTTTTGGAGTTGTATAGTAACGTAGTGTTAAGTGAACTGATCTCCTTGTTTATATTGAAGGATATCTCAGCAGAAGTCACTATCCACGCACTCTGTATTTCTTTTCTCTTTTTATCTATGTTTTCATATTCTAAGTTAGAAACTATCATCCAATAGGAGCTGGCGATAACCGCATAACCAGACTTTGTGGAATGCTGATGAAGGTTTCAGTAAAAATCTTAACTAACTCTTAGCCGAGCATCTGAGAACAGACTTAAGTTTTAATATTTCGTTGAACTGCTTAAATATTGTTAAGTCTTCGTTTTTAATTCAGTTTGTTTTACATTAATTTAGATCATTCATTCAACAGCAGTGTTTTTAATGATAAATGGACAGTGAGGTTTGTTCTTGTTATCATTTCTCTCAAATACTTCTTCGGGACTTCGACCTCTTATCTGACGCCTACAGAGCTGCTGTACTGCAGACAACAGAAATTTAGTTTTAATATAAGCTCATTTTCATTTTAGATAAACACACTGTTTATTTCTGTTTTCATCAATTGTAACTGTAACGTCGTTCACTATGCCAGGAATTACCGATGATCAGTTGAATGATATTCGAGATGTTTTTTCTCTATATGATGATCGTGGTGATGATCAAATACCAAAACATTATTTGGGTAGGATGATTTTTTCATGCGAATTTTAAAATTGAAAATGTTTCTGGTTAGGTGAAGCAATTCGTGCATTAGGATTAAATCCGACCCAAGCTGATATAAGGAAATTGCAAGATTTAGATCGAATGGAAAGGATATCGTTACAACAATTTCAAGTTATATATGAACGTTTGAATCGACAAAAAGAAATGGTGGCACCAGAAGAAGAATTTATTGACGGTTTACGTGTATTCGATAAAGACGGGAATGGTACGTTGCTAGAGAAAGAAAGAAAGGGCGTGTCAATATTTATTTTATTGTTCTCCTTTCAGGAACTATTCCAGCAACAGAATTGCGACATTTACTTACTACATTAGGTGAGTCTGATTAAAACAGTATACCTGTATTAAATCACGAAGTTCGATGTATGCAACATTCTAGGTCTTCATTTTACTTTTTTCAGGTGAACGATTAACCGATGATGAAGTTGAGCAACTTATAAATGAATTTGAAGATAAACAAGGCAATGTTAATTATGAAGGTTCGTATTCATAACTTAATTAGCTTAGCACTTGGATTAGCAAAGATCTATGTCTATTTAGATTTTATTCGTGCTGTTTTACAACGTTAACACTATTTTTCTCCTGTGCCAAAATAAAGAATGAAAATGAATGACCCATGTTTTGTTCATTTGGTTAATATTTTGATTTTTTTCTTGTTAACGACAGATATATGCGTGTACAGATAATTGTCTTTTTTTTCGAAATTTTTTTTGTTTTTCGGTTTTTCTTTAGTTGCAAATGACAGAGATTCGTACTGTTGTAGTAAAGAGAAACTTGTTGTTTTATAACGATTAGTGAACTTTTTTCATATAATGACTACTTCAAGTATTTCAGTGTGTTACATCTAGCTTCATTTTACATGTAAATGTCAGGTTATTATTTTGATTTTGATTTAGACAGAATGACATGGTGATTATGTTGTTTATTACGTACTCCAAAGATACTGTGTTCGCCATCATTAAGTGTCTTTAAAATATGATGGGGTACCTCTTTATTATGTTGTTGATTTACTACTGCTATCTTTGATCTGTTAATCGAGTAATAAAAACTTTCTGAAGTAAGTCTTAAACATAAGCTTTGTTTTTTGACAATATATATTCTAGACTCAATACAATTTTTTTAATTTTTGTTATAATTCGATCTGTAAAACAAGTGTAATAGGAAGAATTGAGGATGAGACAAGTTTCTGTTTTATTCATGTTAGAATGAAAAATACCTCATCAAAATTTTAGATAGTTTTTGTAGTATGTTATCAAGTATTATTTTCCTTCGAACTGTTACTTTTCACAAACTAGCATTCCATTCAAGGTTTAAACATATCAGCACAGAAAAATCCGTTGAACTAAAGCGTACACTATCGACGGATTTACCACAGTCTGCACCACCTTCTACTAGAAAATCATTTAAAACAACGCGTTCAAAATTGGAAGGAGAACAACGTGATTTAAATCTTAAACAATTAAAATCAAATGGTTGGCAAATTGTCGATAATCATGATGCAATAAAAAAAGATTTTGAATTTGAAAATTTTAATCAAGCATTTGCATTTATGACACGTATTGCATTACTAGCCGAAAAACTTAATCATCATCCTGAATGGTCAAATGTGTATAATAAAGTCAATGTAACGTTAACTACGCACGATCTCAAAGGTATATCAACATATGATGTTCAAATGGCATCATTTATGGATGAAATACATTCATTACATAAGAAAAAATAATAAATAATATTTATTATATTGGCGTTGGGTTTTTACATGTTTGGTATTCTCTATACTAGTCATCTTCATTTTTTTATATATTTATCCCTCGCTTTTTATTTGTATTTGATTTTGATAATCGTTCCACGAACAATGAGACATTTTTTCGCACAGAGAATAGATGGTCGAAAGATATAGAGTGCACTAATATATTTAAGTACAGCAGTTTTCTAAAGAGAAACGGACTCGTCATCTTTACAAGCTATCGTTTTGCAACTTGTGTCTCTGCTTGTTTTTTCGCTCTTTTTCAATGGATTATCCCGATCATCTGCTAAACTTGTCTTTGTCGTTGAACTTCTTCTGTCATCCGATTCTTGGCTTATTAGCGATGATGTTCGTATCGTCTTCTTCGTTTGTAATTGAAGCATACGTACCAAATGAATGAGTTCTTTCTTGGACATTGTTTCTAAGGAATTGAATAAATAATCCATATAACTACTCGAGAACAGTGCTGATGATTGTATATTATTGTCAATCATCTCCTGTAAACAGTCGAGCGCTTCATCGTATGTCTCAACTTTTTTCTTTTGTTTTGTTGAAGATGTATCAATACTTTCATCACTATCGTTTGCTAAACGTCGACAAACTCTCTCATGTTGTTTGATCTTTTGCATTTTGATATAAACACAAAGTCCAATGACAAAAACGCAAATCACGACTCCTAACAGAATACATAGTGCTACCTGAAAGAAAACTCGATTGGATGGAAGCGTCGCATGCATTATCAAAGTTGTACGGGTCGCGACAAATGTAGTCTGATTTAGATCGATACAAAAGCCATGTTCTGTATAAACTATTAAAATAAACAAAATAAATTGCAATATTACATGGATTATTAATGCTTTCATACATTGATTCAAAAAACGAAGAATGCCTATTTCAAAAAGTCAATTGATAGTTTTCATTCAATAATACTTTTAGTGGATTTATTCGAACAATTTTCCGCGCTTAAATGTTATGAGTTTATTTGACAAGAGTTCACGCAAACGAGATTATCATTAAATGGAAAAAAATAAATGAATGAAAAGTTTGGGACTAACTACTAAGTATGGCTTGAGTAAACAGAGAGAGCATCCATACAATTTTCAGCATCGATAAAGTGCACACGCAGTAGATTCAACGAAGTTTAGAGCCATTAATGAGTCATTAAGTTTGCCGTTTTCTTCGCCCTGGACAAGGTTGCCACCGTTTCTATTATTGCACAAAAAGTCTGTGTTTATGTGAAGCCTTCTATTATTACATCGACCTTTGCCACGAGTGGCGAGACTATATATTTTTTATAGAACAATAAAAATGATGAATTTTTGCGTAAACTGTAGGTCCAACCTATAGTTAGCTAGAGGCTCTAACTATTACGAGATCGGGGAAAACTATTTTGACTTGACTTGTAATATCACTCTGCTCCTCTTCTCGTTCTGAACTTGATGAAATTTGTTTTGTTACAAAGAACAAATTAATATCTAAAAATGTGTAAAAGTAAAGTTTGTCCCGGGTGCGGATTTGGAGAAAAGGATCTCTAGAAATCCCTTGGTTTCCAGAATATTCTAGAAGTTCTGAGGCACCTGAAAAAGTTTTAACCACACAGAAAGGTAGAGAAAACATTTCTCTAGAAAATGAAACGTCTTCCAAGCTTGTACAATGTCTTGTTGAGTAGCTACAAATTTTTTGATCTGCGTGATATTTCGCAGGAATTTTGAGATTGGATTGACGACCTTTTTTTTGATAAATGACTTCAAAATCTCGTAGCTACCAAACAAAACATTGTACAGATCTGGGAGATGTTTCATTTGGCAGAGACATTTCACCAGAAGCACCGCTCACCAAAAGCTCCATCTCGTTTTCGAGAAACTATTCGCTTTTGTTCGACATTTTTTCTACCAATCAAACTTCCAAAAATTACTTTGTCAATTTTCACTGTTTTGCACTCAATTTCAAACAAAAAAAGCGCCTTTACTTCCGCATCTGCTTTAAAAATTTTTTCATATTAAATGTTGGATATAGTCAACGATTTAAAATCTTGCCGAACAACAGAGCGCCTGTATAGTCAGTTTTTCGGATGAAATTATAGACAAGACTTATTTAGATTCCAAATACATATGCTGAATGTCCAGATTTCGAGCTATAAATTCATAAAATTATCAAAATCTATTCAAATTAGACGAGAAAATTTTTTTTCTTTCATAGATACTGCCCAAGATACTTCATTTTAGTCTTATTATATCATCTCGTATCATGCGTATCATCTCCGCATGTAGAATAGGTAGAACACTCATTTTTTCAGACGTGGATAGTCATTTACTAAACAACAAAATTAAAAAAAAATATAATTAAAATATAATCAATTTAGATCTATGTGCTATTATTCTATACAGAGAGTTCACCTTTGTGTGTGTACAACCTATATAATTGTTCTATTTTCTCATCTTTGTCTATTCTAGATGGTTGATGAATTAACAAGAAAAACGCTTTCAAGCATACCATTACTGAAAACAAGAGCGAGTCCGAGAGACGGTGAACAATGGAGACAACGCTTAAAAGAAGAACTTCAATCGTTAATTCAGGCACATTTATCACATCTTTCTCTGAGCGTATTGTTTGACGCTTCATTATTCTTTATAGTATGTAAAAAATAATAAAGAATCTGACAATGATTGGTTTCGTTTGGAATCAAGTCAAGATGGTACGAGGTGGTGGGGTAAATGTTGGTATATTAATGAATTATTACGTTATGAATTCGATATTGAATTTGATGTGCGTATAATATATTTGTTGACGTTTTCTAATTAGAAATATTTTGTTGTTTCTTTTGTAGATACCCGTCACATATCCAACAACAGCGCCTGAAATAGCTATACCAGAATTAGATGGAAAAACAGCGAAAATGTATCGGTATGTTGAGTTAAAATTCTATTCAACAACGCCTTACTTTACAGCTTAAATTTATCATCATTTTAGAGGTGGAAAAATATGTTTGACAGATCATTTCCAACCATTATGGGCAAAAAATGTGCCAAAATTTGGTATTGCTCATGCTTTAGCACTTGGAGTAAGTTATTTCTTATTATATGAGTTAACATTTTACGAGCAGCCTTTGAATTAATGAGAAGAGATGCATAAATATCAGCTTATCTTTCATCTCTTCGAGAGAATACAAATTACTCGATCTTTTTCATATTTATGATTATATTATTAATGCCTGAATAACAGTCTGAAGCTTTACAACATCTGAAAATATATTTTCAGTTTCACTTCATTTTTATGAAATAATTTAAAAACCTATTCTATTTCAATTCAGCTTGGTCCATGGCTTGCTGTTGAAGTTCCCGATCTTGTTCAACATGGTGTCATTGTTCATAAAGAAAGATCAGCAGCACCAACGAATGCTAGCGGCAATACAAGTAACACGTCTGTACAATAGCATATTTATTATCTTTTCATTTATTTATTTATTATTTTGTTTTAAATCACTTATATTATATTTTTGTTAATGCTTCTCTCGTCGAATATAATCCAAATAAAAAATAAGTGCAAAATAATTGTTCAGTTTGAATGACTGGAAACTCAGTGCATGCTTAGGAGAGAAAATTCACTTCTTTTAGAAGTGATATACATATATGGAAAGAAAAGGATGAAAACTATTTATGCTTGCCAACAATCTCATATTAGATGAGTTTTTTTGTTGTTCTACTAGATGATTCAGTATCAAGAGAGATTTTTTACTTTATTAGATACTGGAAAAGTGCTGGCGAATATTGAATGCTATTTCTTTCATTTTCAACGTTACATTTTTATAAGGCAGAAAAGAAACAATTTACTTCGTCCATGTTCGATTTTTGTCGTCAATCATTCATGCTCTATGATCCTTCAGCATATTCTGTATCATAACGTATATTTAAACGAAAGTAATACTATTTCTTTTTTATAATTGAATAAAACGCTGGTGTTCATCGCGATAATACACATAAAACACGGTAAAAACACTGATAATTTCAATCATAAAGATGAGAAGAAAGGAATTGGAATTCAGATCTAGTGTCAGTATAATAGTGAGTTAACGTCTTATTTAAGCCATCTAAAACACAGACGCATCAGTAAAGTCGCGATGACTAATTATAAACAGTCTCTGAAAATTTTAAACAGATGTAGTTCATTTTCATCCGCATGGAGGCGTTATTAACTAGGCAGACTTTCGCTCCATCTACCGATGTAAAATCTTAACATTCGTTAATGTCAGTTAGCGCTTACTAATTTGCACGTCCATAATCATTAACCGAACATATGGTTAATCAACATGTGGTCTTGAGAGAATTATAACGTGTACAACTAAAATGGCTGGAAGAAAGTAAACAACTTTTTTTCACTTTTCTAATTAAAGTATTCTATCTCGTATATGAATTGTCGATCATCCAAGTTTCATGTTTGATTGTTTAATTAGAAATTACGAAAAGAAAATGAAGCTAACTAACGAGGGAAGGTCCCCAAGTGCCACTCTCACTTTTCAATGGAATATATCCTAGTTTGTAGAGCTCGAGGAGCTGATTAAGATGGCATGAAGCATTTTACATGGTTCTCGAATGCCCGGTTTTCTGCAAAACCAGTTTTTCACAAACTCTAAAAAATAACCAAAACCTTCCTTAACGAGATATAATTGTAGCGCGCACATTTCTGATTAAAATGAGACATCTCCCAGCTCTACACGACCTCTCTTTGCAAAATTATAGAATTTACAAGAAAAGCCCTAAATGTTCAGTATCAGTTCACAGGTACAGGAATAAGAAATTAATTTGGGGCTTTTCTTGTAAATTGTATAACTTTGCAAAGAAAGGTCGCATAGAGCTGGGAGGTGTCTGATTTTAATCAGAAATGTGTGCGCTACAATTATACCTCGTTAAGAAAGGTTTTGGTTATTTTTTAGCGTTTCTGAAAAACTGGTTTTCCAGAAAACCGGGCCTTCGAGAGCCATGAGGGGGAAAATGCTTTATGCCATCGTAATCAGCTCCTCGAGTTCTACAAACTAGGGTATGTCCCACTGAAAAGTGAGAGTGGCACTTGGGAACCTTCCTCCGTAAATGAATATAGACACAGAACAGTGGATTTCGTTTTGTAGTTTACTGCAAAGCTAAGTTCATATGTTCAAACCTCTGTTCATACAAAATTGATTTTGTGTTTTTTGATAGTTTTAGTTTAGAATATTATAATGGAATATTTTCCGTTTGTATTCTGAAAGTATAAAGCTTATATCGAAAATGTTAACCCTCCTATATACTTTGGTAATTATGTTCGGCTGATTACTTTTCATGTACTACTGATGTTTCGTCAAAATGAAGCTAGTAAAAACTTTTACCTTAATTTATTATAAATTAATAGTTCTTTTCAATAAAAACGAGAGATGTATGATGATCTTGTATCTTCGTACTCTTACTTGAATATTTTAGAATGTTTTTTCTATATTTAATACAATTTTCTTCTTTTCTTCTATATTTATTACCATTATTTGATCTTATATGTTTGTTAATTGACAAATCGTTATTTCTTTAGTAAAATTTTATCATGCAGATAGTACTATTTAACTTATAGCCTCAAAATTATTCTAAAAAAACATTTTGATATTCATTTATGCGAACGTTGCTCATTCATTTCAGGCCATACAGCATCGAGCTCTCTTGTATGACGTACCGGATAATCTGCTCTATCATTGTACTAAGGAAGAGAGAAATTTTTAAATGTATTTTGACTTCTTAAAGAGAAGATAAGGCTCAATTGAACGATAGAAAACAAGCGATATTTTTGTTTTTACCGTATTCTCCCATTTAGCCGCATGTTTTCCGACAGTTCACATTCAATAAAGCAGTTTTATAACCTCTTTTTCTGGGAATCTGATGATCAGAGTTGATGTTTTATTTTTTTATTAAAAAATTTAAACTGATGCATGTCTAAATCCTAATCTGATTTGAGTCGATCGAAAACGACTGAAGTCAGCTAAAGTTGAAAATAAAACTTTGCTGTTTGAGAATTCTATGAATTCGAAAGAGGAAAAAAAACGAAGGGCAATTTTGGAATTATAGTTTATTTTTGTTTCCAGTATATTGTACAATAATAAAAAAATTGTAATAAATGGTTGAATTGAATAGATGATATCTGAGAATATCCTGAGATGAAATAAATTTTAAACTAATTCAATTGAATTTAGATTTGAATATGATGTAATCAATATTAGATATTTGATTCATATGGAATCATCATTCATTAGCGAGTGATTCAAAATATGTATTATTCACTTTATACAGGAAGACGTCTTAATATATATTTTTGTCTTAAACTTCGTTTTTATTTAATATTATCTCTCATTATTCTCATTTTATTTGTCATATTTTGTATTGACTATCCGCCTCGTATTTATTTTCTATCTTTGTCTAACATCGAACATAATGAAGAGATTTTACAAATATTTGACACCAATACATCAGCGTTTTATAGGACTAATAATAAAAATAAAAATATTCGATCGACGAAATTAATATTATTATGGACATCATTATTTGATAATGAATACTGGCATCAACTATCTTATTTCAATTTATCAACAATAGTTCAATGTTCACAAGAATATAAATGTCAATTTACACGAAACAAATCGCAATTATCAAAAGCATCCATTGCGGCGTTTCATCTATACGATATCAACAGATATCATATGCCAGAAAAACAAATAAAGTCAAATAATCAAAGTTTTGTTTTTATCACTGGCGAATCCCCCCTAAATTTCTATTACCAAAATCCAAGTTTTTCACCATATCTATTTGAAGATTATTTTGATTACTCAATTTCATACAAAAACGATTCGTATTATACAGTCTTTAGGCCTGTTATACAACCTTTAACAACAGTCAACAAGAGGTATGTAATCATTTTTTTATTGTCATTGAACGAATTGTAGTGTCAGTTCTTATATTAAGCGACGTTAGTTACTTCGTGTTTTGTATAATGAATTTTTTCTATGAATTTGGATTTTATTAAGAAAGTTCTCTAGTGATTCTGCAACTCGGCAGCAGACTGACTACACTTGTGCCAATCATTTGTCCTGCTGCTTTCGGACTCATTCAAACTTTAAAGTCAATTGTATCTCTTGTACATCGAAACAAAAATAGACATAAGCACTTACATTGTAACGTATACATAGTAGAAAGATACAGGAATGTTAGTAACAAGGCTGTACGCAAAAATCAGAAGCATGTGCATTTTCGGGGATTAATGGAAGCATCTCTTAGAAACAGTCTCCGTTGTCAGTGACTAAGTTCACTCAGATTTTTTTTTCAGAGGTACATGCATGAATTGAATAGGAGAAACGTATGATGATTATATGGCACCTCATAATTAACACTATTATTGTTTACGAAATTATAAAAATAATGATCAAAAGTTTTTTGAACTTTTTCTTCTTATTCAATCAAATATATTAACTAAACATAAAATAATATTCCAACTTGTCGCGGTAAACTTAAAGGAATTATTTAACAAATTTCTAACATTGAAAAATGAACATAAATCAATTAAGTCCCCCGCCCTCCTCTCAGCTTACCAGACGGTAAGCCTTTGATAAAAATTTCAAATAAGTATAGTTTGCGTGAAAACGACATTTTACTCTAAAAATGTCCCGACCAATTTTTTTGCATCAAAATGTCCCGACAGATTAAAATGATAGTTATTTAAAGAAAACATAAGTTAATTTCAACTTTTTAGACTTCATGTGACTCTTCTCGGGATGAGAGTGAGAAATATTGTCAAACGTTTATAGAGTATTTTTCTTACCGTATCGATTAAAGTAGGCAGAGAACATCAGACATTTGCTACTATAATAAATACTATAACTTTGTAGCGAAAACTGATTGCAAAGAAAGTATTACTAGGTTTTAGATCGGATTATAACGAAAGAATTAAGCAGTTCATCGCGAGTAATATGCTCAACAAAATAATGATGATAAATAAAAATGAGATTAACAGGTCAGACATGGCAGTTCTTTGTCAATTACTCTTGAAAGTAATTCCCCTGCCTCTGTCACAAATACTATAAACAGCAGATTGAGAAAACTAACTACTAAAAACGAAGATACAGGCACATATTCATCTACTGCTGTTGTACGGCGTTTGAATTTGAGAAAAGAAAACGTTCGAACATTCACAAAATACTCGAGAAGTATAGGAGATATTTTGAATAAAAATAGACTACTATCCATTTCATAGGACAATGCAGTTAGTTGCAACTCGAATAACTTCTCAACGGAAGTAGCTAGAGACGTGTGGTTTGCGTTGTTAGAAAGAGAAAAGATAACTTTATCAGGAAATGTAACATTCAAGCAAGTTGCACCAGCTTCTGATGCCACCTATCGGTGGAACTTCTTTAAGTGAGCTTAGCGCCGA